TATATATATATATATATATATATATATATATATATATATATATATATATATATATATATATATATATATATTTTATTTTATTTTTTTTGAAATTAGCTATTTAATTTTTCTTATATTTATATTGTTAATTATTATATATTATATTTATATACCACATATCCACACATGTACATATACCTCCACTTCTTTACACCCCTATATTACTACTCCTAAACACAACACATATATAGACAGACGCACAAACCACAGAACACACGACACACTTAGAAAAGTAGAAGAAAAAAAACATTTTCATTTCCTTTCAAGAACATAACACAAAACATAAAAAATTGTAAGTGTTTTAATCGTGATTCGGTCAAGATTTTTGTGATGTTCAATTTTAATTTATCTTTTTTAATTTATAATTTTGTTTCATTCATAATTCCATTGAAATAAGTTTGAAATTAAATATATTTAATGTTATTTATTGTTGTACAATTTTGATACTTTGAATAAGTTTCTAGTTAAAGTCACATAGAATATCATTAAATATCGAAAATTAATTAAAGATTTAGAGTTAATATTTTGAGTTTTGTTTTATAAAAAATAGCAATGTTTGACTTAAGATAGGTTGAATCATTAATTGAATTGCTATTTCTATACAATTTCTATTAATGTTAACATTTCCACATTTTAATCTAAAGAAACTTATATCATAAATCATATCATTTATTTTTGTTTACTATTTAAATTTGACTTGTTGAACCTTATTCAAATTTAGTTGATGCTAATAATAATGATTTGCTTTGAATAAGTTGTTTTGGATTTATAAAGGAAAACAATTAGTTTTAATGTCAAACAAACTTCTATACACCTCTTAATAATTAACTTTCATTATTTTAAGTCAAGAGGTGTAGATAAAGATTATTAGGTGTGATGAACTTGAAAGGTGAAGACAGTTATGTATCCAAATGTTATGATCGAGAATACAATTATGGATCCGATTTTGAGATTAATAAAAATTCAACAATTAAAAAATAAGCAAATTATGACACGTCGACACAAATTGTCCAAAATATATCAAGATAAGTATAAATCAATTAAAGCGATCGTGTAGAACCACGGGACTCGAGAGATGCTAATATCTTCTCTCAATCAATAGAATTTTTTACCCGAATTTCTGATTCGCAGACCAAACAAAGATTCATTTCCTTTTGATTAGGGATTAAACAAAAAGGTGACTTGGAACACCATAACCCAATTCCAAGTGACGACTCTGAAATAAATACAATGATTTCTTAATCAATACCGTCACTTTAAATTGGAAAAAACCCTTGACAGTGCTGACATGTGTTTTCATAGAAAGGAGAAAGGAGAAAGTATTAATTTAATGTACCAATTAGATTGCTTTTAGTACAATTCTTTAGTGTTGTGATATTCCCTAGTCTTGTTGGAGTAATCCAAACTAATATATTATATTATATTGCAAATTACAATAATCGAGTGTTTTTATATGTACTCTTGTAAATAGCAAATATATTTATTTTATGTTAAAAATTGTATCAACAAGCGGGGATAGCTCAGTTGGGAGAGCGTCAGACTGAAGATCTGAAGGTCACGTGTTCGATCCACGTTCACCGCATTCTTTTTTCTAAAATATAAACCTTATTTTAATTTTATGTAATTTTTTGTTTACAATTTTATTTTCACATATAACAAACATAAGAATGGATCCTGCATTTGTATATTTTGGTATACAAACGAGTCCTACATTTGTATACTTTGATTCCTACATTTGTATACGATATACAGTATACACATTCATAAAAAACGAGTCTTATATTTGTATACGATATCGCATACATAAAAGAAAAAAAATTTGAGCATACAAAGGGATCGTGCATTTGTATATTTTGGTATACAAACGAATTCTGCATTTGTTTATCTCGATTTATTTGTATATTTCGGTCTACAAATTGGTCCTGCATTATATATATCGTATATAAATAGGTCTTACATTTGTATATTTCAGTATATAAATAGGTCTTGTATTTGTATATTTCAGTGTATTTATATATTTCGATATATAAATGGGTCCAAAATTTGTATATTTCGATATACAAATGGGATGACAAAAATATGAAATGTTTGCTAGGAATTACAAAAAAAAAAACTATAATTATAACATTTAATTTGAATTAATAGTTTGTTATTTCATAAAAAAATCAAAAAAAATCCATATTTCTCTATTTACGTTAAACATCATGGAAGATACAAAAACACATCAACTAAAAACATAATTCCATACAATTTACATCAACTATAAATTCTTTTTATATATATATATATATATATAGCCAAGTGTTTGTTTCCTTTTATATAGCAATCAAATTTCCTTTTAACAAACCCTTCCTTTTCTCCATTTTTTTCGGTTCTTATCCCATTTTTTTTTCTAATCAACAATTTATATGTTGGATGCAATTTTATCATATCATCACAACAATTGAGTAAAGCAAAATTATTTTTTGTATGTATGTATGCATTTGAATGAAGAAGAGTTGTAGAAATTCGTTTTATAATGGAGAATGTTGTTATTGTTATGGAAATAAGTAAATCAATTTGTATATTTAATTCGACGAATTGGGTGGATCTCAATGATACCCAATGTCGATTCCTACGACAATTCTTCTTCCTCCCTGGCCTTTTCAGTCATTCAAAAAAATCATTTTTTCTTGATGAAATCCTCTTTTCTCTTTGAGTAAAAACCTTTTCTTCTTCTTCGTCGTCGTTGTTGTCGTTGTGTTTTGTTTTTGTTCAACAAAAATGATTTCTGGGGCTGGAATTGGAAATTGGGGTAATGAGACATACAATTTGCAAGATGACTATGTTGAGAAAGATCCTAATGGACGATATGTTAGGGTAATTTCTTTTTACTTTGTTTACGTTTTTATATTACGTGCCAAGGGAAATGTTTTACTAGAAAAATATTTGTGTATAACCTAGTAGGGGTAGGTATGTGAGGTGGTATGGATGGGGGTTAAGGTGTGTTGTGGAGGGTCGAGAGGAGATAAACAATGTAGAATGTTCGTTCTGGAGCTTGTTTTTTTTTCTTTCTATTTTCGATAGAGAAAATATTTTTTAAAAAAACAGTCGAAAGCAAATTTTAAGTACCTAAGGTTCGTTATTCAATGTAATAGAGAGATTGAGGAGGTAGTATAAGGGCGAAGTAGATAAAATGGAGATTCGCATCTCGTGTTCTTTGTGATAAGAATGTGTAGTACAGGTGATGGTTAGGTCAACTATGTTATGAGATTGAGTGTTGATTAGTTAAAGAATTCTAAATTTAGAAAATGAGTTTAGCTTGAGCAAAGTATGCGTGTACAAAATCGAATCAAATCAAAAATTGAGTTAAACTAGAAAAAGAAACCGACTAATGGTTTGGTATTGGTAAAAAAAAAAATCTAACTATACTTGGTTTGATTTTAACTACAAAAAGTCAATCCGAGACCAAACCAATCATACGTTTATATATATATAACTTTTAAAATTTATGTTATACATAAAAACATTTATTTTGATGTAATTTCTATATATTATTTATAGATTTTCATAATTTTTTATCATTTAACATATGTTCTCAAGTTTTTTTTTTATACTTTCAATTTTGAACGGTCCAATAAAGGTAATAATCCATATTATATATTAGTAATTTTAGTAAAGCTCAATTCAAAATCAAATGAACATTAATGCTAACAAAATAAATTAATTCAACATGAATGTCATTAATGTTGAATAATTGTTCTTTAATATTACATTGGCTTAGACATTTAAAATAGACATAATACATAAATGTACCCTTTAACTTTGTCTCATTTCACATTTATGCCCTTCAACTTTGACTATGAACAAGTAGACACTTAAACTTGCATAAACTTTAACAAGCAGACACAAAAGTCCTACATGGCACGATACACGTAGGACTAAAAATGCCATGTAGGACATGTATGTCTATTTGTTCAACTTTATATCAGTTTAAGTGTCTACTTGTGCACACCCAAAATTGAAGGACATAAATGTGATTTGAAACTAAATATTTATGTATAATGCCTTTAAAATACATAACCTAATTTTAATTTTTCTTTAATGTTTAATCATGTAATTTATACTTATTACATTTATTTTGACATGATTTAATACTTATAAATTATGACGAGTTTCATTATGAGTTATCAATTTACAATATTTATCTTGATAAGATTTCATTATTATGTATTTTGGTTAAATTAAAGAAATATTGGAAACAGAAGTTAAAGAAAATATATAACACACACCTGCTTCTGTTTTCTCTTAACAGTATAATGAGGTATTGGGAAAGGGAGCATTCAAAACTGTGTATGTTCTTCACCTTTTATCTCTTTTTCTTTTTGTTTTCATTTTGATCTCTTGATTTTGATATAATTGAGAATTCTTTTAATTGAAATAACTAAGTTGTTCTGTTCTCAAACTCTGTTTTTTTAGTTACAAGGCATTTGATGTAGTTGAAGGTATTGAAGTTGCATGGAGTCGCGTAAAAATGGAGGACGTGCAGCCACCAGAAAGTTTGGAAAAATTGTATTCAGAGGTTGATCTTCTAAGACAATTGAAACATGAAAACGTAATGCAGTTATACGATTCGTGGATCGATCACAAGAAGAAGACAGTTAACATGATTACTGAGCTCTTCACGTCTGGGAATCTGAGGCAGTGAGTTTTTTTTTTGTTTTTTGTGAGTAGTTTCTTTATTTGGTTTTGTTCTGTTTTATTCGTTAAAATGGTGGAAAAAAAAATGTAGATACAGTAACAAGTATAAAAGTGTTGATATGAAGGCTATAAAGAATTGGGCAAGACAGATTCTTCAAGGTTTAGAGTATCTCCATAGTCAGAATCCACCTATCATTCATCGAGATTTGAAATGCGATAATATTTTTGTTAATGGAAATCATGGGGAAATCAAGATTGGTGATCTTGGATTGGCAACTATTATGAACCAACCAACTGCTAAGAGTGTTATTGGTATGGTTTTTCTCTTTTGTTGTACAATTTATTTAGACAAAATTTCGCGGTTTTTTCAGTACTGATTCAATATATTTTATTATATACGAAAGGGACTCCTGAATTCATGGCTCCCGAGCTGTACGAAGAAGAGTATAATGAACTAATAGATATATATTCCTTCGGAATGTGTATGTTGGAAATGATAACTTTTGAGTACCCTTACAGCGAGTGCAAGAACTCTGCTCAAATTTATAAGAAAGTTAGCTCGGTGAGTTCTGTAACTCGATGTTTAAATCTGTGTACTGTTTGTAATGGTGTCGATCTAAAAGAACTTTGCATTATCAGGGCGTTAAACCTGCTTCCCTCAGTAAAGTTATCGATCCTCAAGTCAAAGCATTCATTGGAAAATGTTTGGTTGCAGCATCTGAGAGATTGTCAGCCAGGGACCTCCTGAAAGATTCGTTTCTTCAAGTCGAAAACTTGAAGGACTCAGTCGATAATCAAACTCAGTTACCCAAGCAAAGTCCTGGATCGTTGAGTTTATCGAAGCCATTAACTCATCCGATGGATATGGATTTCGAGTCTAACCAATCTACATATACAGATTCTAGTTACGGAAGCCCTAGCATTCCAGGTTTGGAATTCCAAAGATGTCATCAGAATAACGAATTCAAATTAATGGGGAAGAAGAATGACGACAACTCAATTTCATTGACTTTGCGGATCAGAGATCCTGCTGGTAAAGTAGTATATATATGTATATCAATTTGTTGTTTTTGAGCATTGCGGAATCATATATCCTCTTTTGCTTATTCCAAACATTTGGTTGATCGCGCAGGTAGTGTAAGAAATATACATTTCATTTTCTATCTTGAAACTGACACTGCACCATTAGTTGCTGCTGAGATGGTTGAACACTTGCAGCTATCTGATCATGATGTAGCTTTTATCGCTGACTTTATTGATCACCTAATAATGAAGATATTTCCAGCTTGGAATCCGTCTTCTGGTGACCACCATTCGAGTGGAGGGAGAAATCCAAGCAAACAACCTCATGAAAACTTGAACTTGTCTTCAAATTCGTGGCAAACAGACGTGAGTGGTTGCCCGTACAAGTCCATAGGTCAACAAGGTGTTATTTCTGACTTTAACGTGGTTGGTGCTCAAAGTGATGTGAATTCAGATGACGCTTCTCATCATGTTACATTTGCTTCCCCATCGCGCTATGGAAAATCTCAACAATCAGTAGTTTCGAGAGTAATGGCTGAAGATGCTACTGTATGGTCTGATGATCATATTAATGATGGATTTCCTAGAAGTTGTAGTACAAACATCTCGGAGATGGATTTTAGGTACTTGTTTCACGATGAATGGACAACACAGGAAAACAACAGTGATGTTGCAGAACGCGTGCCATCAAATGAATATGGAAAGGATTCAGAAATAATGACTTATTCAGATATCGACAAAATTTCAAGAGGTATGAGTTTGTCAAGTGGTTCTTTCTCTACTATGGTCGAGAAAGATGAGGATACTGAGCTAAAATTGGAGATGAAAGCGATTGATTTGCAATATCAGCAGTGGTTTCAAGAACTCTCGACAATGAAGGAAGAGGAACTGGAAAACTGCAGGAAGAGATGGAAGACTAAGAAAGTTGGCAAGCAACTGATCAAGACTGGATGCGTTGCCAACTTTCTTCAAATATCCGAGTTTGTCTTGTAGAATAATGAAGGCTAGCTAGTATTCGTTCTTCTTCTTTTCCTACGCTTAACTCTATATAGCTTCGATCCTTGAAGGATCTTCTGGTCTCATTCTATACGCGGATATTATGGTAGGTGGAAATCATACTATAAGTTGTGTACATTGTTGTATAGCTCTCTTTGTTTCTACCTTGGCTCTGTTCTGTGGCCACATTTGGTCTGAGTGTGCCTTTTAGTTCTAATCTCTTGCTAGTTGTAAAAGAGGCAAGTGGCTTGTGAGATTACATCTATGTAGCCTACAACAACAACAACAACATATCCCAGGGTTTGGGGAGGGTAAAGTGTGTGTAGACTTTACAGTGATAAGGTCTCTCAACTCATTTATATCTATGTAGTCTAATGAGTTATATGCGTTTTATGTAAATAATGTCATTGTGGGGTCATGACTCGCGTGATTTGATCTAGAAAATTCTTGGTCTTTTTGCCCTAGTATTCTTGCCCGCCCAAGAGAACGGTCTATGGGTTTTTTTTACCCTAATAGTCTCGCCAACCCAAGATAACTATTTATCATATCTAAAAAAAACTTGATCTTTTTATTCTAAACTCTCGAGAGCCCAAGAGAACGATCTATATCGAGAAAATTCTTGGTCCTTTTGCTCTAATACTCTCGCCAGCCCAAAAGAACTGTCTAACTTTCTGTATATATCAATAAAATCTTAGATCTTTTTATCCTAATACATCGCCCGTTCTAGAGAACGTATAAGTTTGCACACATGAAAAGCAGAGAAATCACCATAGTCAAAAGGTCCATTTTTGTTTTACCTTTGTTTCTTGTAGCAATTGAACCAAATATATTAGGCAAATATGAAACTTACTGGGACTAGACAAGTTCAATAAAAAGAAATTGGACGATAAAAGATAATATTATTACAAGAAGATAAATATGTAGAAATTCTATTTACAAGAAATTCCTATCAATATTCTCCATTTGCTGGCCAAGAAAGAAGAATCCAAAATTGCAAATAATTTCTCAAAGTGATGTGATTATTATCAATAGAGAATATAATATATGAAACAATATGATAAAAACGATTAACTTTTCTTTTTCGAACATATTCTCAAACATAATAGTTTGGTGCATAAAATATTTTATGTTTGTGAAATTTAAAAAAAAATCAGATCTTATAAGGAGTGATGTAGACAACATATCCTAATATTAAATATTATTGACTATTTTTATAACTTGTACTCGTAATTTATAACTCAAAACAAAAATAATTTTATTATTATTCCAAAACTTTGCTTACGTAAAGCAAATAATAATAATTTGGTGCATAAAATATTTTGTGTTTGTGGAATTTAAAAAAGGATCAGATCTTATAAAAAGTGATGTAGACAACATATCCTAATGCTGACATTATTAACTATTTTTATAGCTCGTGCTCGCAATCTATAACTCAAAACAAAAATAATTTTATTATTATTTCAAAACTCTGCTTACGTAAAGCAAATAATAACGGTGGAAAAAACAAGCCACCACTTTGGCAGGAATATATTCATACATATCATTTTCACACATATACTTTATTAAAAAATAAAAAGTTCTCTTTCTAATTTAATTTGTATTTTAAATAGATACATGTTATATTTATATTCAGCTAACGTCTAAAAACGGTTTTATGTATAAACGGAAATATAAGATATTAGTTTTAAACATTTTATTTAAAACTTTATCTTTATTAGTTTTAATAAAATAAGCTTATGGACTTTAGTGTATAATTTTAATATATAGTACCAAGTAAACATCCTTTATTTTCATATTACTAATCGATACAAAAATGATCTTTAGCAGGCAATTAATTAATAACAATAACTTGATATGTATTTTTAGCAGCAATTAGTATCTTTAACGACATTAGGTTGAATGACTATTAACTAATGTCAATAAAGACTTTAACACTTTCTGTTAATGTATTCACTGTCTGCTAAAAAGTATTTTTGTTATAGTGAATCTCACTATCTATAAGCGATTTTCACTCATCTTTTAAGAGTGTTATAAAACAGATATATGTTTTCATTTGATTAATCAAAATATTTTGTAAAGAATATCTTTTTTAGATCATAAAAATAAAAAAAACAACTTTCATAATGAAAACAAATTATAATTTGAGTCGGCTATTTCAAGTTAATCATCTCTTCCCCCGTCCACTCAATTCCCTAACTTCCACACCCCTTGACCATTTCATCCCCTCTACTATTTCACGTTTATTGTCTCTTCCCCATCCACTGAACACCCCTCGACTACCTCGTCTCCTGCCAGCCGCCACTCTCGAACCTCCACTTTCATAATATTTTGTCGTATTACTTATAAAAATGCTTTTAAATATATTTAAAAATTGAGTAAGAAATTACTTATTTTTCAAAAAAAATATTTTCTTCGTATCAAATACGCAAATAATTGAGGCAAGGACCACGCATTACATAAATACATAGGTAGAAGACAAAAAAAACAAAAGGATCAAACCAAAAGGAAGCTTCAAAGAAAGAGATCACTTATGACATCTAGCTAAATTAAAAATCACAAGTCTCTTTGAAGTTCCCCACCTATGAACCTTCCTAGAAACCTTCATCATATAAACTATCCTACACGATATAATAAGATCAATAGATGCTGTTGACAACTTGGAAACAACTACAAGTTCCACTCAGACAGTGACGAATTCAAAATTTAAATATACAAAAGACTTTTTTATGTCAGCTTTATTATCGTTTTAATATATAACATATCTATATTTTTCAAAAACACCACCAATAAACATATATTCGTAAAAAAGCAAATCAAATATCTAATGTTTTTGGCAAAGTGAAGAATATAACTATACAAACATGACACAAATCTACTAAACTTTTTTTTGTACATTCCTTATTATAAAGTTGCATCATTTTAATATTTAAGTTAAGTAGTTTACAAAAGATTTTGTCAATCTTTTTTAGTCTTTTTCAATGTTGAGGAAAGAAAAGTCATTTAGTTGGCAAGTACATTTATGTAATTTTTAGAAACTTAATATGAATAGAACGAAAACAAACTTAGTGTTAGCCACACCTATAGTCTATAGATTAGAATCTAGAAATAAAAGAGAGGTAGCGTAAACAACTCCAACAACTTGCTTATTAAAAGGAAAAATTAGGTTGTATAGTCGTTTATTAAAATAATGATCAGTAAATATATATTTTATTATGATATGCATTAAGTATACATTTTAAATATAAAATAATGTATAATTTATATATTTAATTAGTGAATAACTAGTTTTAACAAAATTAGAGTCCCTACATAAACCATCCATTCATATGATTCCATATGAATTAATATGGACCATAGAACATAGCCCATCCCCACTCTCTTTTACCTATCCTACCTAAATTAATGATTCTTCCCAATTGACAATGTAACAATATCTTTTTTATACTTTCATAATATTCACCAAAATAATTACTTTACAGTTGGAATTTCAAGGGAACTTTCCTATTATACTTTACAAGAAATTTTAGCACTATAAATATAGTTCTCAACATTTTCTTATGCTAATAGGAACTTTCATTCATATCAGTTTGTTGTTGACATCTAATTTTGTCCTAAGTACGAAGAAAAATGGAAACTTACAAAGTTTGCGAAGGAACAACAGAATATCAAGACTTGTTACCTGTGATGGCTGAAAAATTAGACGTGGAGGCCTTTGTGGCGGAGCTATGTGGTGGGTTCAGGCTTCTATCAGACCCTAAAAATGGATTGATCACATCGTCGAGCTTACAAAAGAATTCGGGTTTTTTAGGGATGGAAGGGATGAGTAGAGAAGATGCAGAGGCTATGGTAAAAGAAGGAGACTTAGATGGAGATGGAGCACTGAATGAAACTGAATTTTGTATTCTTATGGTTAGACTTAGTCCAGAAATGATGCAAGATGCTGAGGTATGGCTTGATAAGGCACTTCAAAGAGAGTTAGCTAAATCATCTTGTTCATAATTGTCTATCAAAAATATGAAATGGACAAGAAGAAGAAAAAAAGAATATGAGAAGCTTTAAATATCATATGTATTATGGATTGAATGTTAAATTATATTTGTTCATTCCATATTACCATTCCCTCTCAATTGGATGTAATAAGTTTTAAGTTTACTAGTTTCTAATTGAGATGAAAAGTTTATTTCAATTCTCAATATCAACATAATCCTCCTTCAAGTTTGACTAACTTCCCTAAACTATGTACCCTACACCACTCCTATTTTTTTTTTTGTGATGTCCGATAAACTTGCATGAATTTTGACTATTTAATCGGATACATATTACTTTCCACTAGTACTGGTCATTGCGGGTAATACTGCCACCCAAAGTTTAAGTAAATAAGAAGATACATGTTAAGCCATACTTTTTTCGAACTTTACTTTCTTATCGTTTTCATCTACTTCACCTAGAATTGGTGGTGGTGTTTATAAGGATAATTCATTCCAAGGGAAAGAAAAGAGTATATTGTGGGATGGAAAAGTATTGATGCTGAGAATATTTTCTTTAAACTACCACACTGAGTTTGCGAGGTCTAATCTTTACCACGACATTAATAATAACTCAGCTCTTTGAGAGTAAATCACCAGTTTGAACTCCTTTCTCTTGATCGACTATATCGTTTCATGTACAACAAATATTTCACTTATGACGTGCTTACTAGGGAATTCATTTAGCTACAAGTTGTCATAGTAAAACATTAAATAGAAAAAAGATCCCCTTTTTATGGCGTTCCAGATTTATGTACTTGAACAAAAGTCTCCAATCCTATCTATGAGATAATACTCCAACATTCATAGGAAATGAGAATACTACTACTACTACTAAACAATGTTTTCCCCCACAGCTAAATTCACAAGCTACAGTCAACTAAGTTAAAGCAACAAAATGCAACAGCTACACTGATAAACGATAGATCTTTCTCCTACACAACCAGACTGCATCAAGCATTTACATTATGACAGCACAAGCTCTCCCACATAAAGAACTGACTCAAGTTCAAGACCTCCGAACAGGAGACCTGCTGAAAAATACACAAAAGGGAAACGTCAACAAGTGTTACCTACTACTCGCATCAAGAAATGTTAAGACGTTTAAGACCAAACAGAAAAAGAAAATAAAAGGATTTTTTTTTACTACCTGCGATACCTTCCATACTGTGGACTCCTGTATCTGTCATATGATGGACCATTATGAACAGGACTCCGAGGTCGGCCATAATCAGGACTCGGTCGGTTCCTACGATACACTGGACTTGGTGACCTTCGATAAGGACTATCCCTTTGCCTGCCATAATCTCGTCTAGGGCTGTTATATTTGTCCCCCCTCTCATCGTCATCCTTCAATGCATACTCCACAGAAACCACTCTATCCAGGACCTTA